TACTAGACAGCGATGTCATGACATTCAGTATGACATCCATGACAGCAGTTCTGTCATCAGCTCCTGCTAGCTTCTGCTGTACCAGACAGCGATGTCATGACATTGGTCATGACATTATGATTAAAAACACATGACAGCAGTTCTGTCATGACAGCAGATGGATGTCACGATATTCAGCATGACATTCACATTAAAACACTCCACAGCAGTTCTGTCACCACAGTAGATGGAGATGTTACAACATCCTGCTTAACATCAGTGCAGGATCACGTTTTACCAAAATTTAGCCAATCATAGAACCATGGACAATTCTATATCATAGAATCATGGAACTAACAACTTCATATGTAGTGATTGCTTCCTTAAAATTAGGCTTAGTAGCAAAAAATTGTTCCTAATTCCCATTTTAAGTCTTCCTTATTTTTTGGCAATTTGAAAATTGGATATTTCTTCATATTACATTCACTTTCTTCATCTATTTCACACCCACTTTCTAATTCCTCACCATTATCTCCACTCTCATTAAAATCCCCTTTTATTTATGTTTTTTACTAGTACCCTCTGTATCATTAGCATGACCTAATATATTTTTCATGCCCTCTTCCATAAAACCATCATTAGCTTCATCTGAGTCTTCAAAGGCAACACCTAAGGCACTTTCATAATTAAAACTCACATCATCACTATCGTCATCAGTTTCAGTAGCAACAATTCCACAATCATTCACCTCAAAAATTTCACCTCAACATAATTAGCCCCACCATTATTAAAATCACCCTCATTCATCTCATCCTCATTCGTCTCAACCTCATTCACCTCAACAACATTGCCTCCATTCAAATCACCCTCATTCATACAACCTCATTAAATCCAACTTCATTCCTCTCAGGTACACCCTCACTCAAATCATCCTCATGAATCCCAACCTCATAAACCTAATTCAACACAAAACATTGACTCTAACTACATTCATATCAAAAACACCCACATTCAAATTAGTGCCATTCATCCCAAACTCATTAACTCCAACTCAGTTACATCACTTATTGTACCTTTCACAACTTCCTCATATAGTTTTCCAATCCCATCTTCTTCATCAAGGATAACAACATCATTTAGGCTTATAGTTTCTTCCTCTATAGGACCATCATAACACTCAGGTTGAGAAAGTGGATGTTATACATAAATACGAACACTCATATATACCTTACATAAATCAACTATATCTTGGGCACCTTTGTCATCGCTCAAATTAAGCATGTCAAATATTGGGTCATTGTATAATATAGTTCTAACTTCCTTATATCCTGTTTCATTAATTACTCTTGACACCTCAAAATAGCTCTACTTATCTAGATTACATCTCAGCTTTGAAATAATTTATTCATAACTAGACAACTCATCATCTACAAATGAACTTTCATGGTGAATAAATACAAGAACAAAATCATTCATTTTTTACCTAAGAGAAAAATGGTACTACTTAATAGACATCCATACATCATATTGCACGTTAAGAATCAAAACCAAGAGAAAACTCTAAAACAAATAGTATACCCTAAAACCAAGAGAAAATGATAAACCTCACATGTTAAGGTTCAAAACCTAGGAGAGAAAGAAGCAAAAAATGAAAACCCAACAAACCCTAAATTAGAATGGGGGCAAAAAGATAGACTTGCCAGACTACTTGTCTTCCTCATTTCGTTTCAGTAAATATTTGTCTTCCTCGTTTTGTTTCACTCCTCTTTAGTATTCATTCTTTATTGTTTGTTGTTTGTTCTGTGTTTCTTTGTTTTTAGCAAGGTCGTTTGTTCTTCACTTCAGCCTTAACAATGTAGTGTTATAAGAAAATGAGAATGAAAAAAACCTAAGTGATATTTTCTATTTTTTAATTTAAGTTTCACCAAATATAACTCAGAAATTTTAATTCCACCTTAGCAAATATTATTACACATAAGCAATAGTTGGACTCTTAAATTGACTTTGACTAACGTCTTTGACGCCAAGGATAAATGTGAGTTTGTTTGAATAATTGAGGGACCAAAATGGACACTTTTGAAGTTAAGGGACCAAAATGAATCCGGACTAAAAGATATGGAATGAGAAATGATATTAAGCCTTATATTTACCATCCATGGACGATTCTCTAACGAATTGATAGAAAGAAGTCAATGAAAGGAAAGAGTGGTTTGACTAGATATGGGAATAAATTCCATAATGTGAACTTATAAGTCTCCAAAAATAAAGGGCAGAGGTATCACTTTGAGTTGTAGAGAGGGGTAAACTCGGTGAACACAAAAGAACATTAAATGGAAGATGTAAGAAATGGAGGACTAAGGATGAAGAGCACTAAGAAAATGGATGGTAGTGGGGTAGTGGGCTAAATGGTAGCATAAGGATGCAAAGTAACAATCATGTAGCCGGAATAATTAAACATTCCAAATATATGGAAATCGTCAATGAGCTGGAAATGGTAACCATAACAAGAAGGTCTTAACATATGATAAGACTTGTTCTTATGTAAACTTACAAGGTAGATCACCTAAGTGAATAATGTAGCACTTGTATTATTGGTTATGATTTGTTAGTGTGGTGTTTTGATCTCCTTATCTTCTTCTTCTATTCTCATTCATCAAGTGAGGGGATGTACCTACAAAGAAATCTTGATGCCAAATGAAGGTTTAGTGTATGCATATAGTAATTAGACGGATTTATTAATTTATCATAATATGGGTGTTTCGAACTGGATCGATGCCCAATCTTCTAAGTCACAATAATGAGACATCCCAAAAAAAATAATACCTTATACATGTCATTGGATGAGCTAGGGCTTTGAATCTAGGGGACTCACAACCTGAAACATATGCCTTTAATATGAGTGTCCCTGAGAGAAAATTCTAGAGACTTAAACCTTATAACCCTGTCGCAAAGCCTAATGAAGGCCTTATATTCATATATACATTATTCTGACTATAAAATCTCTCATTCATGACTAACTTTGACATGGGGTTTGGAGTATTTGCAAGTACCCCCACCCCTCCGGTCGGACTAGAGAAGAAGGATATCAAGATCTTCTACAAAATTCTTTATCATATTGTAATTCACTTCCTTTTTGTAAACCATGAAGATTCATATTAGATTATATGATTTCGTTTGTGGGAAGCATTTATCAACGTTTCCACTTTTTACACGTTCATGGTGAATTCTTGCAACATGTCGGTTGAAAAATTATAATTTCGAGTAACAACAATGGTTCTTCTCGAAATCCCTCAAAGGGCACACAGGGTCAAACAATTCATATTCAAGAGTATGAGGACCACAGTGGGTAGTCATGGCATAAGAAGATAAAGACTACGCCTCTCTTCTCGAAACCTACATTTTCTAACAAAATATTCAAACCGTAAAGAGATATTTAGTATCAATTGCTCATTATTTCAATGGGTTGTTCATGTCTTTAGAAGGATGTATGTTTTTCCTTAATGAAAAGAGGTAAGAAGTCACATATGTAAGATATAAACTGAAGCGAAAGCCCATACCTCTTTTATTCTTTTAAGATGAAGAGGTAATTAATGGTGTACCTAATAAAAATGTTCCCTATTGGTAAGGGTAATGATAGATGGTTTCAAAGTCTGTCATGTGAGTATGGTCCAAGGAAGTTCTTGTGACATCATGTATATGTACATCAGGACTAGGCAAATTTTGCAACCTTATTACAAAGGCAACCTATAGGTGTTTGATGGTTTATATATCATATACCCCAAGGTAGGTGGAGTTGCAAAAAGCAATCAAAGAAAAATTGTCATAGTCAACTTTCTAGTTATCATATTTAAATTTGTCTACATTTATATTATTGAAAGACCAACACTAATGATTGTGTGTCGTGTCATCAACGATCCACCTCAAATTAAAGAAAAATCGTCATGGTCAAGTTTTTTGTCATCATATGCAAATTTATCTACCATTGTATTGTGGAAAGATCGATCCTATCAAAATTGTGTGACATGTCATCAGCGATCCTCCTCAAATTAAAGTTTCACGCCAATGTTGATAAAATAAATGTGCTCAAAATAAAGTTAAATGCAGCTTGCACTTTTTTGTTTTGACCTTTCTAAAAAAATATCAAGCAACCACGGATTGGAAGACTAACAAACCTATTAACAAGGAACTACTTACGCTAGAGATTGTGTTCCTTTATACTTATCATGCAACCACGTTCCAACGACTTGGACAACTAGTTTGCAAATTGTAAAATCAGAGATGCGCGATTGGAAGGCCAACCATTGTGAAAACTCATTGCAAGACATCTCTGAATTCTCATATCTCTCTGATTGCCTTATTAGGTGTCATTCGTGCTTATTTGTATGGGACAATAAACCACGGTAACCTTGACTGCATTGGGCATATGATGATTGTGGTTTTGCTTCTCGTGCGGGAGACTACAATGTCTATTGATGTATTTATAGTCCAGAGTCCAGAGACTCGGTGATGATCTTTATTAGTTCAATAACTTAGAAATCTGAGTAAAGACTTCCCTACAAATAAGCAATTTTAACTTGCAATTCTGTGGCTTCAATTTTTTTAGAATGAAAGACAAACATAATGATACAACTATAAAGTGTAGTAAAAAAAATGGCAAAATACAAGAATGACATTCATGACCATGTATTATTGCAATTTGCTTTTGATTGGAGTTTATTTCGGCAAAAACATTCACAACAGAAAATCAAAGGCCGGAGACAGGTAAAAGTTCTGGGATAGAAACATGAATAGTAGACCCAAAAAAAGGCAAAACGAACTGCAATACATTCAAGAATTAAAACTGCGTAAATAAAAGTACAATTTTACTTAAAATCTGAAGACGTAAACAATATTTATGCCAATTGTACCATACTAAGAAAAAAGTTTCTAGGCTACAAAAAAACTGACCCAAATTTTACTTTGGGGAAGGAAAGGGTCAAATTAACTTAAGGGGAAGGAACTTCATAAGATCGAAAACTAATTTATTCCCAGCCTGTAGCTGCCACAGATTCAATTCCAGGAGTAGGAATTTGTTGTGGAGGTGGAACAGCTTCACCCCATTCCCCTGCAACTGAAAGAATATACTCTATTAAACAAAACATGAATACATATATGATGCAATGACAGAAGTAACACAAATTGGAGATCAAGAAAAACCCTCAATCCAAGTTGAAGGGTGAGGGTGGTGCCAATAACTTTAATTTAGTTAAGGATAATTTAAATGTGCAAATAATTATGTACCAGCTTCTGGGGCTGTCCAGTTGACAGCAGGAACTGCTGGAATAGGCTGTGGAGCTGCATCCGGCCAAGATTGATCAATGGCTGCAGGCCACTGACCATCTGATGGAACAGCAGCATTGAAGTCAGCAATGGCGTATTCAGGAACAGGAACTTCATCCTCCTCTTGCTCTTTGGCCTCTTCGGGTTCTCTGTAGAAGAATAGATCCACCTGCAGTAAAGAGAACACAAGGCAGTGTATTTAATCTAAACTTGTCAATTCAATCTTAAGTTCTTGAAGGTGGGGCACTGTGTCATGTATGTATACTTCATATTACAGACTATAACAGAAGATTACGCATACTCTTAACAACTGCAAAACATAAAAGAAAAAATAGTTTACCATCACATCCCACTTGAGACCAGGGCGAATAGTACCACGCATCTGCAATACCATCCTAGCCAAAAGCCAGAAGAGACAACCTATGCTGTGCTTCCCCTTGTTGTTAGCAGGAATTCCAATGTCAACGTATCTCATAGGAGAATCAGTGTCACAGAAAGCAATTGTAGGAATGTTTCCAAGGGCAGCTTCCTTGATTGGCTGCACACAGACAAAATATGCATAGAATTGCACAAATAAATTAAACAGCATATGTATCATTGACAGATAAAGCAAGAAAAGCTAAAATCAAAAACTCATAAATGACAATGCACAAAAAACAATCAATCTAGGAAATATATGCATAAAACAACAAAAGAAATAGAGATTTATTAAATTAACAACCAAAGCAGGTGAAACTAAAGTACAAAAATTATCTAAGGATAATGGTAAAACCTGGTGATCAGTTCTTGGATCAGTGAGGATGAGAAGACGAGGCTCACTGAAGGAAGTTTGGAGCTGATTGGTGAAGGTTCCAGGAGTGTGTCTTCCGGCAATAGCATGAGCTCCGGTGTACTGAGCAAACTTAAGAACGGCTCTCTGTCCATAAGGCCTTGCAGATTGGACAATGATGTCCTGAGGGTTTTCAACGGCAACAATGACTCTGGCAGCCAACTGAAGTTTCTCCCAGGTCTTTCCAAGATTGATAATATAAATACCTAAGTTGAAACAAAACCAATCAAAAATTTACTAATTGTCTACCGAATATATTGCTACAGAACAATTGTACAATTGTTGATAATAGAAGAAAGAAACCCAATTGAGCATAATTAAATTTTGATACAAAAAATGTTCCTTCAGAACAGAAACCAAACAAAATGCAAAACAAAACCAGAAAGTCACAAACTATTATTACTTAAAACCCTCACAACCCAATACTTAAAACCCTTAAAAAAGAACACTAACCTGTACAAAATGAAAAAAAGATACAAAAAGCATTCTTAAAAGGTCTAAACCGGGTTATTTTCAACACAAATTTTCTTTATTTTTTCTCCATAAGAGCATTTACTAACATGAGCCATAAAGTAGTAATTAAACTATAAACTATACTTTTCACACACAAAAAATTGCACAAGCAAATGGATCAACAAAGACAACAAAAATTGCATAATTCCAAACAAACATACAAACGTGTGTATAGATATTCACCGTTTGTGCCTGAGATACTTCACTTTCACACACAAAAAACCGTAGACTTCTCATAACCTAAAACTACTAAAGGCTCTAACTTTTTTACCAGATCTTCTAAATCTAAAATACATTATGTATATAAACTCCAAAAACGTAATACATGAGGCTAAAAATATGCAGGATTTATAAACAAACTCAATAGGATTTGAATTTTACCGTCATTTCTGCGTTTGAAGATATATCGCTCCATCTGGAAGTCACAGTTCTTGGTGCCGAGGTGGACGTCGGCCGCCAACATCATCTGAATATCAGCTTCCTTCTGAGACAACTGACGTGGAGCAGCAGCGGAGGTAGCCATGATTGATGGAGTTTAATGCCGGCAACCGGAGAAACCCTGAAACTTTAAGCTCTGATTGCGGCACTCTCTGAACAACTTCGCTAGGTTTTGTTTCAGCAACTAAATGTGTAATATAACGATCCCGTAAAAGGGATTTTAGGGGTTAAATGACCCGGCCCAATATTCAAACACTCGTAATGGGCTTGGCCCTTATATGTTTTTGTAATTCAAAAAATTCTTATAAATTATATTTTTTTTTTCAAAAGTAATAGATTATAGTGGTTCAAGAAAATATTATAAGGTTTTTAAATATTATAGATTATAATGATTCAAAAAAATATTGTAACACTAGTGAGGAGGTGTATGGAAAAGACAAGTGGCATAATGTTTGGGACCACCACACTTGTTCATGTATTATTTTATTCTCATTTATCCTTTTGTTTAGTTAATGTCCATTACTCTTTATAAAAACTTTTAAATTGCGTTAAACTTTCTATGTGGGACTATTTCCCCATCATTTATTGACATTTATTCACTTCCACTTTTCTTGTCATTTTAGAACACACTCATGGATATTTATTTGTTAATAAATTACAACAATCTCCCACTTGTTCTAATAATGACAAGACCAATTCCAAAAAAGAGAAACAAAGAATGTTAATACAGTTAAGTATCTTTCGATTTCAATTTAACCTTAGTAAGAATAACGCAAAGTTTGATCGAAATATTAGGTAGCAACGCTTTGAACCATTATCCCCTGTGATTATATCGGCGCTACCTTACACACATTCTTTAATGTTTCTTCGCCTAACACTATTTATGGCCATGTTTTTTTTTTGTGAATTTTTCATGAGAGAAACTTCGACTCTCACTTTGAGACGGCACCATCTCGAAATTCACATAGGTGAAGTTCATATTGTATCCTTTTTCATAGGACGCATACCATCGGTATTGAACTTCATTAAGAGTTTAAATAAAAACCAAACTCTCATTTTAAAGGGCAACATTACCACAAAATGTTTGACAAACATGCAAATCAATGACTTGTCGTTACTCATTGAATCTTGAGGTTAATGTTCTACTAACGTAAGATTAGGTTGTCGCCGCTGTCGAAACTCTTACTTAAGGAGTTTTATCCTCATGCCTCTCGAGGTTATTTTCACTAAGTCTCTAGCCAGTGGCTTAGTAAATGGTTCAGCCAAATTATTGCTTGTTCATATATAGGTGAGTGAAATAATTCTATCTTTAATCAATTTTCTCACGAAAGTATGTCTAAGACCAATGTGCCTAGACTTTCTATTGTATACTTCACCTGAATGTTCTTGTTAGGTGGCTCGACTATCACAGTGTATCAACACTTTTGAAACATTTTCTTTAGCCAATGGAACTTCCAACAGAAGATCTCTTAACCATTATGCTTCTTGACCAGCTGAAGCAAGAGCCACAAACTCTGATTCCATGGTTGAAAGAGTAATGTGTGTTTGTTTCTTGCTCTTCTAATAAACCGCACCTCCAACTAATGTAAATATCCACCCATTTGTAGATTTATGATCTCTAACACTCAATATTCAACTCGCATCGATATATACTTCTAGTATAGAAGGAAACCTACCATAATGAAAACCAAGATTTTTTATCTTTAAAAAGTAAACAAAAACCCTGGTTATGACCTTTCAATGTTCACCATTTGGATTAATAGTAAATCTACTCATCTTACTAACTGCGAATGTTATGTCTGGTCTGGTGCATTGCATTAAATACATTAGGTATCCAATTGCACCTTCATATTTTAATTGGGTTATAGTTCTTCCATTGTTCTTTTGAAGTTTGACACTAGGATTAAATGGAGTGTTTTCTTCCTTAAAGTGTAGATGTTTAAACTTGTCCAACATTTTCTCAATATAATGTGTTTGACTAAGTTCATAACCCCCATTATTTCATTTTACTCTGATCCCTAAAATAGTGTTAACTAGTCCAAGATCTTTCATCTTGAATGTGGAAGTCAGAAATTTCTTTGTTTCTAAAATTTTATTCATCTCATTACTAATGATCAACATATCATCAATATATAGACCAAAAAATATTACAATGTTTTCACACACCTTTTTGTACAAATATTTGTCACAAGATTTTGGAATAAACCCATTTGAAAGTATGACTGAGTCAAACTTTTTATGTCATTGTTTTGGTGCCTGTTTTAAACCATACAAGGATTTGACAAGTTTGCATACTTTTTGTTCATTTCCAGGAAGTACGTAACCTTTTGGTTGTTCCATGTAGATTTCCTCATCGAGATCTCCATTTAAGAATGTTGTTTTAACATCCATTTGATGAACTATAGGGTCATTAAAAGAGGCTAAGGCGAACAATGCTCTAATTATTGTTGTTCTTGCCACTGGTGCATATATTTTTAAGTAATCAACACCCTCTTTTTGTCTAAATCCCTTTTCTACTAATCTTGCCTTATATGTGTTTAATGTACTATCACTATGATAGTTCTTTTTAAACACGCATTTGCATCCAATGGGCCTTGAACCCTCTCGAAGGTCGACAAGTTCCCAATTGTGGTTTGAAATAATTGAATCCATTTCGTCTTGGATAGCATCTTTCCAAAAAGAAAAGTCCCTTGAAGTCACTGCTTCTTTATAAGTTTTTGGATCATATTCTAATTGGAGAATAATAGGGATCTTATGAACATCATTCTTGCAATTTCCTTCATCTAGATAAAAGGAAATGAGTTAATAATCGATTTCTTCTGAACCTATAACTTTAGCTTTTCGAGCTCTTTTGCTTACCCTAGGCTCAAGTTATGTTTCAATAATCCGCAAGATACTTTCGAGTTGTACTTCAACAATTTGTGGAGAGTATTCATCATGAGATTCTTCATTCGTGGGAATCTTAGATTTCTTATTTTTCGTGATAAGGTTTTCAAAAAACTCTACATATCGGGATTCAATAATTACGTTAGACTCCAGATTTAAAAGTCAGTATGCTTGGAGTTGATTTTCTTTGATTTAAAGGTATAAGTAGTGGGTTTGTTTGTTTACGTTGCTTAATGAAACCTAAAAATGTATTGATTAATCTTTTGTTTTTTTATTTTCATATTTTTTGTTTTGTTTTTTTAGCTTGACATGATACAAGTCATTGTCCCGCTGCATTCGTGCTCGAAATACTTGCCTGAACTTGTTGTGGGAAGTTCATACATCATGCAAAATTTCAAGGTTTCAACTAACAATTTCTCTTTTAAATCAACTACTCATGGTTTCAAGTTGATCTTTTGTAGCTCAACTTATGTTAAGAAAGCAGAACTACCAGACATCTCTGCAAATTATGTCAACACAATTGGTTTGACATCCATAACTGATGGAAGGCTTCAATCTAATTTGTTAGTTGGTGCGTTTATTATCTATATTAGATTTTGACTATTAAATTGGGCCATTAACTGTATGCTGGACTTTGAAATTATATTTGGCTTAAATGTTGTTGGAGGAGTTACTAAAATTATGCAGACTCAAATCATGGTCAATAGCAACAAAAGCAAAGTTGTGTTTACGATAACTTACATGAGGTATAAACCAATATTATTTTTCGTGTTTATAACAAATTTGTCTTTTTATTTGTTTGAATTTACATGTTTAGGTTCGTATTTGCCATACCTCATTATGATAACTGGCATGATGTATGAACAAACATGTTTTTTAATCTTTTCAACAAAATTTGTATTTTGATTTGTTTGAATCCTCACTATGGTAACCGACATGTGATATGAACAAACATGCTTTTTCATGTTTACAGCAAATTTTGTATTTTGATCTGTTTGAGTTTACGTGTTTACATTCGTATTTGTCATACCTCACTATGATAACTGATATGAGGTATGAACAAACATGTTTTAAGGGTTTACAACAACTTTTTTTTGAACTCCGTTTGAAATTAAATGTTTATATTCATATTTGCATAGTCTGTTTATGATAATTGACATGAGATATTGAAAATATTTTGATTGATTTGTTTGAGTTAAGCATACTTAGATTCATATTCACATAGCCTGTTTATGATAACTTACATGAGATATTGAAAAAAATTTGATTGGTTTGTTTGAGTATACATTGTTAGATTCATATTTGGATAGCCATTTTTTCTTGACAACAAAACTTTGGTTCAGTGTACTCTATGGGGTCAGTTTGCTTTGCAGTTTTACCAATATTACAAGAGTCACAATGAAGAAGAAAACATTGTTGTTCTATTGCAAAATGCAAGGATAAAGGGCGCCCAAGGTACTTTTTATTTGGAATGATATGGTATTTGTTTAATACTGTATTATCTTCTTATGAATATATTTACCAATGTCTATTATGAATTCGTTGTAATGTATAATTTTTTGTCATATTGAAGGTGGTTTTTGTAACGCCCCGAATTCTGAATTTCCAAATTTGTTTGAGTCCTTTTTGATTTATTTGGATAAATGTTATTTTAATTATGTAATTTATGTGACGATACGTTTAATTTCTTTTTGTGCTATTTTACCGATTCAGAGAGTTTTCGGGGAAAATAGATTAAAGGGTATTCTAGACATTTAGTGTTTTATATTAAGTGGGGTATTTTGTGAGAAAATGTTTTAAGAGGTATTTTGAGGAGAAATAGAATAGAATAGAAAGAGGTATGAGTGAGAATTAGAGAGAAAAGAAATGAGATAGAAAGAAAAAGGAAGGAAAGAAGAAAAGAGAAGAGAAAGAGGAGAAATGGAGAAAAACCTAGAAATTCATCAAGAAACAACTCCCAAGCTTCAATCAATCGGGTAAGGATGTGAAACCTTATTATTATATCAATGTGTATAATCATGTATGATTTTTGTTGGATTGTTTTGGATTGATCGGTAGTTTTTTACACTTTCCATTTTAGGTCGAAATTGGTTTAATCGATTGAAATCGTTGTTTAACGGTTATAATCGTGATTAGATGACGTAGATTAGTCGATATAGGTTAGACTAAGGCTACTGGATATGGGTTGGAGTTCATCGG